TTCATGCACAGCTATTCCAGACACAATAAATCAACAGCTAAGGAGGACAGCTTTTAAAGAACAGACTAAACCATGACCAGCAGCTACTCCTTAGATGATTGAATTTACTTTACTAAGGCCTGGAACTTGAACACAGCTGAAATACATAAGGCAGGCAGGAGGAGAATAGGAAAAATAGTGAGTATTACAATAAAAGTTTGGTCTGGTTTGGGTTTTTTAATTAAAAAAAAAAAGTTTTTCAAAACAAGAACTACAGGCACACTGATTTTCAAGCTTTGCTTTCAGAACTCAACAAAATAATTATGTTAGATGTTTAATAAACAGAGCCAAGAAACTATTAGATGGTGTTGAGATGGTGAATGAGAAGACTGGAATAAAATAGGTTCTTTTTACTATAGATCCCAGGTTCCTATTTTTATGCTTTGATGATTTTTGTATCTTGTCTTGCTCTTTTTCCTTCAGTATTTCACAACAGAAACAGAAAGTTAAATTTTCAGACTGTTCCCTGCTTTGTACATATACAAAATTGCACACAAATTTTGACATATGCTAGCAAATGCAGTTATTTCTAAAAAATACCTGGGATACAGTTGTGTGCTCTTTAACTGAATACACACACAAACACAAGCAAACAAACATACATAGCAACTTAACATTGCCATTTGCACTTGAGCAACTAGGAATGGTCTATCCCATAAATTATAAGCTCTCCTGAGGGAATTTAGCAACCTCATGTTTTCTATCACATACAACTTTATCCTCAGGCAAGACAAGAAAGTATGACAGGGTGAGGCTGTTTGGGAAAACCATAAACATGAGTTTCCAAGAATTACAAAATATACTGGCTTAAAATATTTTAACTGCCATTCATAATTTCCTGCTGTGTAAACACTGAGGTTTTCTTGGTGCTATAATCTATTCTAATTCAGGAGTTTCTAGTAACATTCTTCATGATCTCAGATTATTCTTTTTTAATAATTCAGTGATGTTTCACACCCTCTTCTGCAATGAAGTTTTATGTCATGTGATACTAGCATGTCCCCCTTTGTGTGCTTATCTGGGTCACTGCATAATGTATTTGTGAGAGACCTTGATGCATGGGTTTGAGTATTTAAATACATATCAGATAGCCAAGTCCTGTATGGTCTTTGCATGGCCATCCTACACTGAACTGGTAGGGATTCTTACTTACGATGGGAGATGGTTAGTGAAGAAACTCAAGCATGATGCATAAGCCTGTTTACAGCTTATATTTTTCCCTTTGTTTCCTATTTTTAGCATACCACCACTGAAAGCCAGTGAGAAATCCAGTACAAAGTTTAAACTCATCCCTTTTGAGACGGGTCCCAAACATCTACTTGTTAATTTCTCCTGTGATAAATTTGCAGATATCAAGAACTTTAAGATGGTAAATGTGATTGACTAACATGAAGATGTACATGAATGGTCTGTGTGTGTATAAATTGAACAAAATATCATAAGAAATCTTGTATAAGAAAACAATGAGAAAATTAGCAAACCAAAACCTCACTTCCTGTGATAAGGGGTTACCAACATCATATCATTAAAATTTTACATTGTAATTTTAAATAAACTGAGGAATAGTTGATTCTTCATTTACTGTTGTGAGTGTCCACGTTATTAAAAAGAGCATCTTACCTTCTATTCAGAGACTGTTTGTTTGACTTTTGTCTGGTTTTCTTTGGAAATCATTCTTTCTGGCTCTAGATGTGTCTGCACAAACATTCATAAACTCATTTTTACACATTCAGAGCCTTATACAGTGGACTTTCAAAGTGGTGTTTCTCCTTACTGCAACCGTGATGACTAGAAAGTAGCCAGGATGAGTTGCACGACTTACGTCATTTAGCTTTGTCTGCTTTGCTGCAAAGTCTGTCCTGACATTTTTCCTTTTTTGGTAAATCATAGTGACCAAATGAGGCATAGGAAATGTTCAGAAGGAATTTGGGTGGTGTCCAATTTGAGAGCCATTTGACAAACACCTTGAGATAATTGCCCAGCTCAACATACATGGCATTTTTACATGCTGATATTTTGCACTTGCTGAAGGTCTTCTTTGGGAATCAAAGGGAGGGTAGTCTTAAGTCTAAGGGTATTTTACCTTGAGAATAGTTAAGAATTCTTCACTATAGATTGTGTGTCAGGAAGTCATCTTTCAGAGTTCAAGTTTAGTAAAGCTTACTTAAACCCTTTATGAGAGGATAGGTACAGGCCAAAAGCTGGGTTCCAGGAACAAGTGAACTAGGTATAGCCCAGTGAGTGACCTAGTTTATGGCCAATAATTCTACAACAGTAAGTCAATCTCTGACTGAAAACGATCTGTGTAGATGAAGTGAATGCAAAGCCAAACTACTGCTCTATTGCACTTTGGACTGCTGGGTCAGGAAGCCAGTACCATCTTGGCAAGTGCCTGGAGCCAGTTCTGTGCCCCCACTTCCACCACACAGCACAGGGTACCTGTGACTTGCCATAGGGACTCCTCACTCTTACATCAGCAGCCCAAGCTCAGACTGGCAATAAACTCCTTTTGTCCTTGTAGCCTGCAAAATTGCTTAAGGAGGGCACTTGCAGACACCCAGTTTTCCACTGCCAGTCACATGATGTCAGTACAAGACCTTACTGGACATATAATGAGATGACCTACAGGGAGGCTCTACAAAATGGCCCATAGTGGTACCCTCTCTTTACCTCCTGATGTTCCTCAAGGCTCACCAGGGTCAGAAGCTCTCATCACGTAGACCAAACAGTAGAAGTTCAAGCTCAAGCATAGCCTTGGATTTAGAATGTGGATATACACTTAATTACTTCTTTTTACGCCTCTTGTATGTGTGAAAACAACCAGATTATGCTAAAGTGAAGTGCATTGCACTAGCAGAAATTAGAGAAGCTTTGTAAATGGGACCTCTAGGGGAATTAAAAGGAAGGCAACACCCTTCCCCTGCAACACTTCAGGTGCACATGAAGTTAATGAGTCTAATTAAATGCGTGCCTACTTGGATACAGACGCGCAGAAGGGATTCTGCAACATTTTTTGTGGAAGTTACACTGATGTCCTCTTTCTAGTAAAGAGTAGCGACAATACAAGTGTAAGGTGCAATATGGTTACCCTGAGGATATGCTAGTGCGATACTTGAACAATACACAAAATTATTAAAGAGATGAATGAAATAAAAGAGTATGTTTTTCTCTGAAAGTTAGCAAACTGCACGGCAATTTCAAGGCTCTGAAACAAGGGAAAAGGACGAACAAAATATTTTGAACCATTTTGGATGATGAGTGGGTGGAATTGAGCTAGGAAAAACACCTGCGACAATGTTAAGTCATTAGTCACTTTGCAACCACGACCGCTGCATTCCAAAGGGCTTACAAAAGCAGCTGCTGATGCTTTGCTGTGGTGAAGGTGTGGACTGGCAGGTGCCAGTTTGGGATGTAGGCCAGTCTGAGAGAGAGGTTCTGGTGGTTTGGTGAACACCACTGTGGGTGTGTCATACAGAGGTAAAGGAGGTGGTTGCAGCCGAGACAGAAAAAGTGTTCTGAGATTTAATTACTTACGTGAGTGGTAAGGAAGAAGAAAGGAAATAGTCATACTCCAGCGGGAGCAACGTGTAATGTCTGAAGCAATCACTATAAGTACTGAACGCCTGAACTTAAGAACTGGTCAATGCGGTTTGTCACTAGGGCTGTGTGTGAAGATCAGGTAACATCAGAGGCTTGTGGCTCTTATGGTTTCCAAGGAATATGAATTAAGCAAAAGAGAAAAAGACCGACTAAAGTAGCTCTGAACGGCAATCAAATCCATCTGAGGCGATTCCCGGAACGAGTTTTGACAGCCTGAACATCCTGGAAACTTCCAAGAGGAAGAAGGACCTCTGAATTATAATGTAAGTGGAGATACACTATACCAGATATACTGCTGCCAAGTGTGAAAAGTTTTAGTGTTGTTCTTTCAGGATAGGGCTAGCATGAATGTCATATAAGTAAGTACTCTTTTAGTCTTTGTGGTATCAAAACAAAGTTTCTCAAAAAGGTGCAAGAAGCTAATTTTTTTTGTAAAATCAATCTTAGAAACAGCTCTTGGAGCTTAATTTCTGCTTCTTTTTCAGTTTTTTTTCTTTGTAACTTAAAACTCGGACTAATTTATTTTTTAAGTCTCTACTGAGTGCTAAGACATGACCAGTTGAGCTGCAGAATCTTAAACAGATAAATATTCCTCCCTACAACAATGTCATTTTATTACCTGTACACTTTTAAGCGAGGGTACAAAAATAAAAAGAAATATATCCACAGTTGTGAAGACAGACAGGCTTTATCAGTTTGCACTGATAAAAACTACTCATGGTTAATAGTTTGGGGGTTCCTTTTGAAATGAAACTTTTGCTGAAATAGTAGTACAGAGCTAGCTAACATAACAGGTAAACAGACATTTGTTTCTGGTGGGAATTTATCATTTCACATAAGTCAGGGGGCATTGGAGATAATTTGAGACCCCAAAAAACCCCTCTAAAACCAACTCACAGCTGTTGAACAAAACCAGAAGTGACATTGACCAATCTGGAAGTTAAGTAATCAGGAAATGCTCCTTTTTCCTTCATATGGCTTTTACGTCCCACCACACTCTCCGTTTCCTCATCCTTAAAGATAACTTATTCATGGCACACCTATTATCCTTTGTAGGAAGTTCTTCTTGTCTTGGGATTCAAGTGAACACATTTCCTCTGAGTAAATAATTTTGGTATCTCCTCCCATAATTACACCCACGTTGAGTAGGAACATTGGCATTAGACATACATATATTATATGAACTAGTTAATTCGTTTGACAAGTCTACAGGTATTAATAACAACTGCTGAGCACCTCTCCCCTCTCTAAAATTTCAGCTGACAGCACGAAAAGATTGTTGAGTTTTTTATGATTCATGTGACTTGGACATCCTTGAAGAACAAAGTAGAAGTTGTATGCAATTCTCATAAGCTGAGGGAATGGCAGGTGAGTTCGTGTCATTTGCTTCCCTTCAGCAGGTACTTTATTCAGGACTGTTTCCTTAAGATACATGCCCTGTAGGTATCTGCTCAGATTTCTTATCTGAAATTTTATATTGTAATTTGTTCTTGCACTTCATTTTCAAAGTTTTACTGTTGTTATTATTAAGACCTGTTTGAGAATAATTTTTGAGCTAAGCAGAGGATAACTGGGGGGCGCTGTGAAAGAAAAGAAATTCCCATTACTTCAAAAGGCACTATGCGGAACTCCATCTAAACCCTTTATTTTTTAAATGCTATTTCAGACATGTGTTATGCTTTGTATTAAAAAAATTAGTGTAATCCATCCTAATGGAGCTGTGAGCATGGAGCCTATAGATGGGAATTCAAAGATGCATTAAAACCCTACTAAAGGAAAACAGTAATGACAATATCTATGCATTTTAAAGTTAAAAATGAAGATGATTATTGAGCTGGGCAATTGCAAAGCAAGGTTGTCTCTTGTTTAACAATGAAACAAACATTTTCAAATCAGTTTTTAAAATGTTGCTTTGCAGGGAAAGCAGCAGCCTTTCCTGGCAGCACAGAAAGCAGTTCACTGTCATCCCAGATAGTCATGCTAAAGATTCTCTTTTTCAGCGCATCAATGCTTACTCACGTTACTTCTTTGTGGTCTTAGACTACAAAGAAAAAAATTTTTCTTGAATGTAATTATGGCACTTTTTTTGCATAAGTTAGATTTTACTTTTACTTCTTCTTCAAAGATTATATGTAAATTCTAGTAATATGCAGCTATATTGTTCCAGATCTGATTTAGTATTTCATTGCTATGCTATATGGTACGAGATAGACTTGGAAGCTTGTTTGAAGATCCCTACCATAATAGTGCACGGTGCCATAGGCCTTAATTGATCCTTTCCATCACACTATTTTTGTTGTTGTTATTGTTTGCTCTTGAATTTCCTTTAAAATGGTGGAGGTCATGTCGTGTGTGTGTGTCCCCCTTGCATTTATGATACTAGCTTTAATAAAAGTGATTTGGAACAATCTTCACCAAGGTACTTGCCCTGAGCATTTGCCAAAACTTGCAGCACAATGCTCCAGGTGTACTCTGTGGAGTCTCATAGGGCAGATATAAACACAGAGGACAGTGCCTCTCAGAGCTCCCAAAGACAGTGTAACTGCTCAAGTTTGAGTGCGGCAATAAAACATAAACTATAGAAGGGAAAACAAATCTTGCAAGGAAGATCATATACATACTCGCTTGCTGAAAAGGTAGTTGAGAATTTAAGGTGGCAAGAGCCTCTTTATGGGTTTTAAACCACAGACCATAATAACAGCATGTATGCAGGACACTTGGTGTTGAGAACTTCAAGCACACTGTAAAAATCATCAGAATTCCTCTAGGACATGAAGGTAGTGCCTACTAGAACAGGAATCCCAGTGGTCCAGTTGTCACTTTGGACACAGCTATATTCAGTCAGATTGATTTCTTTGTCAAAAGCTCCAACTTACGGCCTCAAATACCTCTTGTTGATTCAAATAAGACAGATGATCTCTCACTATGCATCTTTCCCTACTCTAGGCCAAAAGGCATCAAGATATAAGCGGGAAAAGTAAGATGTCCTAATAGCCATTTCTGGGATCCTAAAAATATAGATGTTGAAAATGTAGAGGGGCTACAGGCCACTTTATTTGGTGCTGACAATGAAATGACACTGATTTGCCCCTGTAAATTTCTAAGTCCAGTGATAAAACAGCATCCAGCACTGTATAGGAAGTATATAAGTCCTGGTGTACGACAGCCCCATAACAAAACTCAAGCAAAAAATTCTATTATTTACCACTAGACTTAATCAATTTAATGGGGCATCTGCTTTTTAGTTGTCTTTTATCTGGTAAAAGATAACTGCTCTTAGCAATCTCATCATGCCAATCACCAGCAAATGACTTCTTTCCATGCTGGCTGCTTCTTCATATCTTTTCTTCTGTTTTACAGATCTGACACCAACACATATCAGCTGGCAGCCATCAGTAAACGCAAGCACACACCATACTGACAGATATGCCAATGCTGAGTTGACTGTGAGGCGAGGACAAGCCTTCACTATTACCCTGTACTTCAACAGACCAAAGCAGACTGGGGAGAACCTAGCATTTGTCACTGAAATAGGTAACACTCCCTTAGCTTAATCCATGTTCTCACAGAAATGTAATCTTTATCCCTTGTAGTTCTCCCCTTATTCCATTTAGAGATGCAATTTTTCTTCATGTATTTTTAACGCTTTTCCCCCTGTAATGTTCTCATTTCAAATATGAGGTTAACATTGAAACCACACTCTGGAATGGAAACCAATTACCCCTTCTTTCCGGCAGGACCATCCCCCTCAGAATCTCATCGTACAAAAGCTGTATTTAACCTCTCTGAGGTGGGGGCAAGTGGCTGGAGTGCTGCCCAAGGACCCAGTGAGTCTGGCTATATGAACTTTACAATATCCAGCCCAGCCAATGCTGTCATTGGACGATACAATCTCATCCTTCAAGTAACCTCAGGGAACAAGATCTTCTCCAGATTCCTGGGGCAGTTTGTGTTACTCTTCAACCCTTGGTGCCCAGGTAGGTACCAATGCCTTTGCTCTTGAATATAACTGACCTATTTGCTTTCATATCCGCACAGTGAGCTTGCTACCTCAAGCTGTCTCTCTTTGGGTTACCAGTGGCAGCAATCTCAGCTATCTGTTCAGAGACCTCGTTTTAATGGATTAAAAAAAGTTTGCGCCCCCCCCCCCCCCCCCCTTTTATCCTAATGAAATGTGCTATATGGAGTAATAACATACGAGTCCTTCTTCAGGACTGAGCAGATCACTTTTTCTGTAAACAAGGGCTGATAGACTTTAATAAGTGCAGGTACTTCTCAGAACTTGAAGCAAGCATACAGTAACATCCTTGACTTGCACCTAAATCAGAGCAAGACTGCTCTTGTAGATGTTAACTGCAAAGACAATAGCTCAACTAACTTTATAAGAACTGATAAGAGGGCTAGTGTGAAGAAGATTGGCATTTCCCATGTCTTTCATCATGGGTTGAAAAGGGACATCTCCTGCTCTTCCATTTTTTATTTCTGCAACCTCAGCATGTTGCAGAAGAAATGCAAATTCCTAAACTCAGATTTTGCAAATATGTCTAGAAACCTAGATTAGCCTTAAAATACACCACTCCAGAGTTAAGGGAGCTCTTAGCCAGCCAAGTGACTAAACAGCTTATAAAAGAAGAGTAACCACAATCACCCACTATTTTCTTCTGTGACCATATGTTAGTCAAGGGCCACTAACAAATACTCCAAGAGCCAAGATGAAAAAGGCTGCTAATTAGCTCAGCATGTCTTGGAAGACAGAAATAATTATAGAAGGATGTTCAGGAAACTCAGACTGTCTCTGCATAGACAGTCCTGAGGGAAAAGCCTTCCTAGAAACCCCTGAAAGATCACTTGTGGTGTAACCTCTAATTGATGGAAGCCAAACAGCAGGGACTGAAGTACTTGACAGCTCCTGAACTGGAACACCAGAGTAGCAGTGGTATTCATAAAAGCAGACAAACTGTTCTCAGATGAAAACTGAGAAAAATTAAGCTGCGCCATTCCAGTTTAAAAACTAATGATTTTGCAGAAGAGCCCTCCAGATTTATCAGATGATGCAATGACCACTGCCAAACAAAAGGGAGTATCCTTAAAGTAGGATGCTGGTGAAGAGGCTTCTGCAGAGTGGAATAGACCCCTGAGCCTGACAAACAGGAACAGATTCAGTTTGAGGGTATGTTACCGCTATAGTAAATGTCATAGCAGAAGGGAAATGGAAAACTTATTTCCTCAGCAAAGGATAAATGACAGATCTGGTCTGTGGATATGGTTCCACATGGGAGGTTATTCATTAAGCTGGAAAAGACAGGAATTGATTCATAACCTGTAATATTACAATATGAGTAAAGAACTACTTACAAGGAAACATTCAGGAGTAGAGATGAAAGAAAAAACACTGGGTTGGAGAAGACCTACTAGTGGATCCTTAAGTGTCATCTGAAAAAACACTCTGAGCAAATGGTTCATTACTGACTTTGATACCCTGACATTAAGCAGCATTGTCCATACACAGATGGGCTGGGATACCACTTAGAAATAACTGGCTGCCCTTAGAGACTGGAGTAGTTGAGAAAAGATAATAAGATACAATAATACAAAATAAAAGACCATTATGTTTAGGGAGAAATAACTATAATTTCAATGGCAGACTTACCAGCTGGAAATCATGAAAAATGTGAAAGTACTTGTTAATCAAAGAATGAGAACCAAAGTGAAATGGCCCTTAAAAAGGCAAATGCACTCTTAAACTGTGTAAGAAGAAACAGTTGCTCAGATTAAATACTAATGCCATTGTACAAGGTGATGAATCTCATTTGGAATTTTCTTTCAGTTAATCTTTCCTGAACAGGAATTATGAATTAGAACATGTTCAGTGAAGGGTTACTGGGATAGCTGAACACATGAAAAGCCTTTTGGACAAGAGAAAATTTCTAGTTTAGCAAGCTGAAAGCAATTAGTTTCACAGGTCGTATATCTGAAATAAATACAGAATTTTGACACAGAAAATACTGATCTTTCCATAATGGTAACAAAACAATAAGCTTATTAATTCACTAACTTATTTGTTTCAAACTTTTGGATAAAACAATAGTGATGTTTTAACATTAATACAGTCTCTTAAGGACATTTAAAGAGAAATCTAAGATACTTGCAAGCCAGCCTCTGATAATGATGCATTATGTCCTAATGCTACTGAAGGAATGTACAGCTAACTACTAGAACAAAGAGTGCTAATCATGAATTAAATGAAAGATCATATATTGCTTATCTATAGCTCACAAGTGAGCACGTCAATTGTAAAGCTTTAGGGGATAAAAGGATATGTATGTTTGAGAATTTTGTAGAATGTATCTTTTTCCCTAGATGTCTGATACTTGCCACTTGTTTATGTGGAAAAGATTATATGAAGAAATTACTAGAAATATATATATGTTAGAAAGCATGCTCGCATATTGATTAAAAACTATCAATAGAAATTCATATCCTGCTTGTTTCTCACTATGCCAGGATAAACTTTAATTTCAGAATGAGAAGACAGAATATATAACAACTTTGTATTTTTGTACTAAAATGAATTAATTTAATAAAGGATTAGGTCTATAGTGGGCTGTCTTTCTATAACTGTCAAAAAAGAGGACTATTGTGGCTGTTTGAGGCTTTTTTCTCCTTGTGTGCTGAGAGTAACAGAAGAAGGGGGTGTTCCTATTTAGTCATACTTAAAGAGATTTGTTGTGGTGTGTTGCACGGTTTTTTCCCTCCTTTTAAACTGATGCTAATTTTTCTCTTAATTATTGGTAGGAATAGTGTTATTACAAAAAAGTCTAAGTATACTTATTTAAAGAACTGGCTCTAGAACATTATAATTGAGAGCATATAAACCTTAGAAAAAAGATGTTCATCAAGTGATTATAGAAGGACATTTAGATTGCTCCAAATCATAAACTCATAGGGTTAGAAGGATCTTAGGAAGTTATCTAGTCCCACACCATGCTCTAAGGCAGGTTCAGTTTAGCACTCAGGTCATTCCTGACAGATCTTGAATTCCTTCTTAATGATCAGCCATTAGGGAAGCTCCAGTACCTCCCCCAGCAATTCACTCTAATAAAACACTAGCCTTTCCATTAGATTTTTTTCCTGTTAACTAACCAAATCTTTTTTGCTTTGATTTCAGCATATAACCTCTCATCCTACATATGATAGACACCAATAACAGATTTCCTCCCCACCCACCCCATCCTCTTCACAAGAATTTCTAGAATTGATTACCGTGCTTGCCCCATTACTCACCTCCATTTTTTTTCTACCTTAAATAATTCTGAGTTAATTAATAAGTTATATTGTCTTCATAAGTTATACTCTCAGGATTGCTGAGCATTCTCAGTGCTCCTCTCACACTTTCCAACTGATCCACACCTTCAAGTGCAGCACCTGGAACTGCACACAGTTCTCCAGGCCCATGCCGACTCAAAAGCTTGGGAATCAACAATGATGATATAAAAAAAAAAAAGTGTGGACAGTGACCACAAAAATAGACTTATATAAAGTGATATAATTTTTAAAAGAAATTACACAATCTTTTTATTTGCAGGAAGGGAAGGATGGGAAGTTCCTATAGGAAGGTAAAGAAGTTAACTCAATAAAATAGAAAAGCTGATTTTTATATGCATTTCCTGAAATCCCAAAGCTTTCACAAAATAATTTTAAACATCATGAAATTAAACATGAAGCTAAGTAGATATTGCTACCTAAAGAGTGATCAAAACAACCTAAATATCTGTGGGAAGCTCAGCTTTCATAGCAGCTACATACTGTGCCATAGACTAGGGAAACCAATGAGTAATAAGGAAATCAAAGTGATTGGTTGAGCAGGCTATCCTAATAACATTCCTGATAACACTTTGGATCAGGCAAGTAGGGATCTTCATTTAGGAATCTTAAAACAAGATGAACGCAACTGGAAAACAGAGAAAAATGTCATCTGTGAGATTCTTTTCAAATGTCTATTCTACTTCTAACTACCCTGAGAAGCAGAAGAATCCAGTGAGCTAGACTGGACTTTTCTCCATCTTCCTCACAAAAGTACAATGTACAGATAGGGGACATCTAGGTAATATGCAAAGGCTATACTAAAATTAGGGGAAAAAGTTAGTGTAACATGGATTCCCCCCACCAGCCCCAGGCCATATGCAATAGCAGGCATTTTCACCGAACTGTACATTTTCAGGAAGCTATAATTGCGTTTTCCAAACAGTAGTTTTTCCCTTGATAAATCAAGATACAAATGGTTTTGAAAGGTTGCTAGTATTCTCAGCTTTAAGTGTAAAAGCATGTCCAACTTGGTTTTCAGGTGATGATGTCTACTTGGCTAATGAAAATGAGAGACAAGAATATGTTCTAAATGAAAATGGAATAATCTTTGTGGGCAATGCAAAGTACATTGAAGCAAGAGGATGGTACTATGGACAGGTAAGACATAAGGAATTAATTTGTGCTCTTATTCTGTCTCCAGTGTGTGCCTCTGCACACCACTGTCTTTGTGCCTCACTGTCCCTATCACATTTGGGCTGGAATATCTTAGAAAGGAGGAACTGCAGTAGAATCTCCTCTAATTCTGTTTGTGAAACTATCTATTTTTTAAAAAAATTATCTTATCTGATCACAGTTTCAAGATCACCTTCTAAACATCTGTCTTACCATGCTTGATCTGAGCCTATACTATCGTCAGGACCCAGCCATTGATGTATCCCGAAGAGGAGATCCTAAATATGTGGGCCGAGTAATCAGTTCTATGGTAAGAAATGGACAACTTAATCTGAATTCCATGTGCTTAAGCAGAAAGCATTAGTTATACCACTGATATTCAGCTACCTGCACCTTAAGCAATATAATTAACTAGATATGGTGCATTACACACAATTGATTTTGTGCATTCTGTCCATTGGCCTATTTTTAGATCAATGGAAATGATAATGATAATGGAGTTCTCCTGGGAAAGTGGCAAGGAAGTTTCCATTCACATGAGAATCCATCCAGATGGGATGGCAGTGTGGTAATCCTCCAGAAATGGCGTCAGGACAACTACAAGCCTGTTCAGTATGGCCAGTGCTGGGTTTTTGCAGGCGTGATGTGTACAGGTAAGCTTTAAGAACAGAGGAGTGTGGTGAAATGGAGGCATTTGTGACCTCTGGTTTTATCAAAAGTACAAAGCAATTAATTCTACAAGAGGAACAGTGCTCTGAAGACTGCAAATGCTAAAGAATCACAAAATATTTAGACACTTAACTTTGTTTCTCAGATATTTATAATCATTGAACTAAAGCTGTGGGGTTTGTTTGTGTTTTGTTTTTTGTTTTTTAAATATATTTCAGTTCTGAGGTGCTTGGGGATTCCAACTCGTTTGGTTTCAAATTTTAACTCTGCCCATGATGTGGATAGAAATCTGAGTATTGATAAGTACTACGACAGCTCTGGAAAGAGTCTTAATATCAGCAAGGATTCCACATGGTAAATATAAACTTTTGCATCTCACCAATAATTAGAGAGAGGATTTATGAGACTTAAAAACATAAACGCTAGTAGTACAAAAGCAATTGTATGGACAAAAGTTAATACAAATATCTAAATTAATACACTAGACATCCATTTGGAAAGAAAACGTATTTCATGGTTTTGAGATAACAGTTACTTCAAATAACCAACCAGCCCAATTTTTTGCAGTCCTTGACCTCAAACAAGTTGCAACTTTCTTTAAAATTATGTTTCCATTGACAAAGTACCAGTTACCAAGGCTCTTTTAATCACTGACACCTAACCAGTCTGTTCCTGATAATGCAGCTGAGTACCTTCCATGCTCTCAACTGGTTTACTGCTGCCATAACTTTCTCTCATCACACATCCAAAGCCTGTGTTTCTCAGTTTGGCCTGTCAACTCCCCCCCACCCCCACCCCGGTAGATGGGAGCCTCCCCAAGAAGTTTTTCTGCACTCCTTTAGCTAGACCTTCCCCGTATGGGAACAGAAAAGAGAACAATCCCAACACCCTCCAGACTTGCTTATTGGACATTGTAGTCCAGTGCTGTAAACTGCAAGTGATCCATGGTCATCAATCAAGCCCCAAAATTTGAGTAGCCAAAGAAACATAATATTCTTTAAATGATACCATTTTATAATTTAGTTGCCCTCCAGTTTTAAAATCTGCACCCACTTCACTTTTCAGAAAGTGAACTAACTAGGCCCAAGGGTATATCATATAGCTCAAAGTCTCTGTGCACACTAGGCTTCACCAAAAGTATCATCTTTAGTCTGCTTCCTTTCACTGAGTGTATGTGGTTGAAGGATACAGGAAGTCTTTCACCTCTTAACCTCCTTAAAAGTATTAGCCTCTGAACAAAATTCAGCCAACAAATCTTTTCTGGGTCCTTCTGTGACCTACATTTTACCAGTCTTTCACGCTATCCTTTCCTTTCGGAGTCTGTGGAACTCATTACCACTGGATGCTGTTGAAAACAAAGCTATAAAGAGTTTTTAAACAGGACAAAAGAGATTCATAGAGAATAAGATGACTAATGACCATGAAACCCAGTGGTCTTGATGCAATGACCGACTCAAAGTCCCTAATTCTCTGACTGTGAGAAATCGTAGAGCATATCAGGGGAAGGGTCATTCTATTCAGGTGCTGTTCTTATCTCTTTTCTAAACATCTGCTGCTGCATAATACTATAGATGGACTACTGAACTTTATGAGCATTTTATCTGATCCAGTATAGCTATTTTAAGTTTGTATTTAAACAAAGCATTTTCCACATTTGAAGGTTACTGAACCCAGTCACCAAGTGTTGCCTATATACAAGGCTTAAATGTTTCACTTATAGTTCATATTGCTCCCAAAGCAAGCTGCTGACATCTGTATTCTCTCCCTCCCTACCCTGAGGTCTACACCTCAAAAGCAGGCAGTAAATCCATCCTTTGAAAGAGGTAGTGAGTTGCTGTAACTAGACAGCTTGTGTCACATCTTAGAGATTCTTTAAAAAACAAAATTCCCTACTCCTTTCAAATTGGACGTTTGTATGACTCTATATTACTATGCTTTCTAGACATTGTTCTTTGTCTCCAGGGATTACCACGTCTGGAATGAAAGCTGGTTCATTCGCCCAGACCTGGGAACATCATACAATGGATGGCAGGTTTTAGATGCGACTCCACAAGAACAAAGCAGAGGTAACAGTATAAGTTCTTACTATGACTTAGCATTCCTTCTCCAAACTGAGCACAACTAATAAAGTCTGACTTTTTTTTTTCATGTTTTAGGATTATTTCAGTGTGGCCCTGCATCTGTCACAGCCATCAAAGAAGGTGATGTAGACTTGGATTATGACACCTTATTTGTGTATACGGAGGTGAATGCCGATTGCAACAGATGGATTGTATACAATGATGGAACTAAGAGAAGAGTTTATTGTGATACTGAAATAATTGGCAGGTTTATAAGCACCAAAGCTGTGGGCAGCAATTCCCGTGTGGATGTCACCTGTAATTACAAATATCCAGAAGGTAAAGGAATTATCACAAATAATCTCCTTGTTATCACAGTTATCTCCTACTGAATTCTTGGTGCTAGGACGCTAGGATGGGTAACCTGTTTTCTTTGAGCATCTCTCCCTTTCCGTCAGAAAATATTTCTTGCCAGTGTTCTCAGACTACTTTCTTAATACAATGGGTATTATATTTCTGTTTTTGTGTATTTAGTAGTTTCCTTATTAAGACACAATACAAAATATATTTTAGTCCCTTACACAGAAGGGACTATGTATATGTAATATGTATATATTACAAAATGTAATATATACACAAAATAGGGCTATAAAATACATTTTACTACCCAAGGCAGACAAACACTCAAGCTATCATACCAGAAAGTCTTAAAACTGAGTCTATCATTTATAACAAACTGTGCACAGGTCTGTAGTATGGGAAGTACAGATAAGTACTAGCTTTCCAGCATATCTGGCAGAGGCAGTGGGGCAACAATCAAACCACTAATCCAAACCCTTAAACTCCAGTCCTCTAACACTAGACATCCATCTCCCATATGACCTCATGCTCAGTGTCTCTCAGTAAATAAGTTCTTTCTTGCTGTGTCCATTCCAGCTCCTCGTCTTTCCTTTTGAAGACCACATTACATCCCGCTCCCAAGAGGAGTGACTCACTCAGTCTCCCTCTCTGACTGTATAAATTCACCGAGTTAGGCTCTCTTGTGGTCCTGTTCCAACATCCAGCCATCAGCTACCCAGCCATTCAGTTGTTACGTGTTTGCACTCCCAGTGGACTCAGTCCCACATTACTGAATTCTGGAAACAAAACTACTAGGAAGCAGTAAAGGGAACATGCCATTCATCTATACTTAGGAAAACAAAGCAGCAAAGGTTAAGAACTGCATAGCCATATGTTCGTGAGAATATTTTTATCTTCCGTCAAAAACTTGGTACCTATGTCTTCCCATCTTTTTTAAATTTAGGGTTACAGATTTCATATAATAGTTTGCTTAATGTTTGTGGCTCAAAGTCTTAAAAAAAAAAAAGAGGAAGATAGATTTCACTTTTTTTAAAGTTTGCCTTCTGAATCAGCAGCCATATTACAATACTTCACTCCTCAAGGTTTTAGTGCAACCATATTTAATACAGAGGTTGGTTATCATCAGATTAGCGAATTAACACTGTCGTGGTTTACCCCCAGCCAGCAACTAAGCACCATGCAGCCGCTCACTCACTCCCCCTCATCCAGTGGGATGGGGGAGAAAATCGGGAAAAGAAGTAAAACTCCTGGGTTGAGATAAGAACGATTTAATAGAACAGAAAAGAAGAGACTAATAATGATAATGATAACACTAATAAAATGACAACAGTAGTAATAAAAGGATTGGAATGTACAAATGATGCGCAGGGCAATTGCTCACCACCCGCCGACCGACACCCAGCCAGTCCCCCAGCGGCAAATCCCCGCCCCCCCACTTCCCAGTTCCTAAACTAGATGGGACGTCGCATGGTATGGAACACTGTTGGCCACTTTGGGTCAGGTGCCCTGGCTGTGTCCTGTGCCAAATTCTTGTGCTCTGGCTGGGCATGAGAAGCTGAAAAATCCTTGACTCTAGTCTAAACACTACTGAGCAACAACTGAAAACATCAGTGTTATCAACATTCTTCGCATACTGAACTCAAAACATAGCGCTGTACCAGCTACTAGGAAGACAGTTAACTACATCCCAGCTGAAACCAGGACAAACACTTATCACACTACTGCATGTTCTGACCAAAGAAAAAGAAATCTTGCATCCTAAACAAAAACAAATGCATCATATTTCATTTTAGTGACTTATTCACCTTATTACAGTATGTTTATTACTTTACTGTGAAAAACTTTAACAGAGGCCTAATAAAAATATGGGGAACTTTCAGGTACTGCATATTTCTGGGTGATGCAGAGCTGACACCCGATATCATTCTGAAAGCCTTTACACAGAGAAGGTGCAATGGCAACAAAAGTATGAATTTTGCTTGGTTCTCTCCTTCGATCAGGTTCTTCTGAGGAAAGACGAGTTTATAAAAAGGCCTTAGCCAAGATATTTGGATCAAATATCACAGAAGGACACACAGAATCTCCAGATGAAAGATCTTCAGAGACAATTAGAAACCCTGGGATCTCTGGGAAATTCAAGCTGGCTGAACCTCCAGTGTTTGGCAAAGACATTACCCTAATCTTAATTCTCAATAACCTATCTTTTGACCACAAGACCGTGAAGGTGGACATGAGTGCGTCAACCATCCTGTACACAAGGAGACCAGTGGCAGAGATCCTGAAGGCAACCACTTCTGTGGATCTTGGTTCTAAACAAGGTAACTTTTAATGTCCCTAAGGAGTCAATATAGCCCTCTTCTTAGCCACACAAAGGCAACTGGAAGGAAGAAACATCAGTATCGTATCTGTATCAGCCTTGTAGTGCATCTACTTGTTCCATCTCTTAATAGCATTGTTTATGACTACATTTTACAAGATATTTTTTTTCCTCTGAAAACTTTCACTAGTTCAACCAGGAACTGAAGGTCTCATGAAATGTTATATAGAAGGCTACATTTATATTATAGCTCCAGAAGCAACACTATATATATATATGGTGTGTGCCTGTGTATATGTATGTGTGTGTGTATCTATCTGTCTGTGGTGATTATTACAGGTATAGGAACACATCTTACTTTTAACAAATAAAAAAAGTCTGATGTATGCTTTCTGGCACTCAACAGGCAACACTTTAACTAGGACAAAGGTTAAAAATTACAATGAAACTGTCTCTCTTTTGAAGAGTCAAGGCTATTAAAACTATTATAGAGATCTTTTTCCTCCCCAGGGGCTACAAAGATAAACATTTTTTCCATACACAGCAGAAAAGTTGTAGGACTACAATAAGCAGCTGACCAGGTCACTTGAAAAGGATCTCTGTGAAACTTGACCCAAACTTTCTTCTTGACTGAGGTAAAATAAATAAGATATAAGGAGGAAACAGATAAAAATGGTTATACCTCTAATTATAAGAAATACAAAGGGACAGGAATCCAGTGAAATGCAGATGAGCAGATTCCTTCAGTTTCAGGCCAAAATCCTCCATTCAAAACTGTAAGGGTCAAATGAGTTAAAGTAGAAAAGGATCACCAGAAGAGGGAAATACACAACCAGCCTCACAAGGAAGAAATATAAACAGACTCCAGCCTTCTTATCTTCTGGTCTCTTCAATAATATCAAAACCCCTCACAATAACTCTCTTTTCTTTAGCATTCTTTGAGAGTGTAATGGTTCCTAAATATATGTCTGAATTCCAGGGAAACATATCCAGTTAAAGATCCCTTATTCTTATTATGGAAAATATCTGACTACTGACAAAAGGATCCAAGTTACTGCTTTGTGTGAAGTCATGCACATGCATGGGGTAAAGTTGCTGGTGGAGAAGACAATCATTTTAGAAGACACAAACATTATCATTAAGGTAAACAATTCTCTCCCTTATGTCCTAAACAGACAGAAAGAACTAAAAAGTCTTTATGGAGCTCAGATCTCAAGATGAGAATTTGGGGATAAATGCATTAATTTAGGCTGCAATTTCAGATGTAGCTCTAAAATTCTGCCTGCTTAAATTGAGAAAGTAAGCATGTGAGAGACCAGTTTTGAATCTTTGCCTGAATCTGCCCCCTGTTCTTCAGAACAGCTCTGTTACCTTGTTTCTCTCCCAGTCACATGCCACTGCTTTATGTTCACAGAACTTACTTTCATGTCATCTGTACTCCAGTTATTGACAAGTGCTTGTGTTGCCTTTAAACAACTTTGCCTACTCCCAAAATACAGACTTAAACCCTTAATTCTAATCTATATTCAGGCCAGTTTATATTGTTTTAACACTTTAATCCTGATCAATGATGCGCCAAAAAAAAAAAAAAAGCCACTCAGCAACCCAAAGATCAGACAGGTTTAATGAGATGTATCTGTATAGTCGGGGCTCTCTTTCACTGAAATTGTGCATGAAATATTGCATACAGCTTGGCAACGTTATTTAGCTAATCCAAATCCAGCTTCAACTATTGGGAAAGGCGTATCAGCTGTCAGTTAAATTTCACTGCTCCTACCAATATCTCATTCATCCTCAAATATGAGAGATGTTCTGCTTACAGTTTGACTGAAGTCTGACTCCAGAAAAGCGTAAAACAGTGAATGATCAGAAATGTGTCTCTGTCGTTTAGATTCCTCGGCGGGTTGTAGTGAACAAAGCTGTTACTCTAGAGATCTCATATGCCAATCCCCTCCCTGAACCTGTGAACCGCTGTGTACTACTAGTGACTTTGATGAATCAACAGGTCAAGATACAGTAAGTGAAAGCTGCAGCATTTACTCAGTGCTTCTACCATGACCAATGGCATGTCTAGTTTCTCAATAAGAAAAAATCATGGTTGAATTGTCTTTTTCATATTTTCTATTTATGAAAATAAAAATGCCACCAAATACATATTGAGATATTATGATTTCTCTGTCACGTGTTATGTTTTTCCACGTAGTAACTTCTTTAATAACTAAAAACTGCTAACATTCTTCTTTCCTGGGAAATAAAATGGGCATGTAAATTCCTTTGTCTCTCTAATACTTCTTTTACAGTTTGGCTTTGTGTTTCTATTTTTATATACAGTACCCTAATACTACAGAAATAAGTCTAAGCTAAAGCAAACAAATAAGACACTGCCGTAGCTCCCCTCGTATCAGTCCAAAAAAGAAGTTGCTCTGTCCTCCTTTAAAGTAGGAGAAAATCATGCCTTTTCAAAACATAAGAGCAAAATATTCTATTCCTTTTTTCTTTTCCTCTGGACTCTGCTGCCTTATGGATTAACTCAGTGTTGAGTAGTTCATATTTTCTAAAGCTTGTTTTATTATAAAACAGCCTGACTTGCTGTGGCTCTGGAAATATTTGGACATAATAATTCATAAAAATATGGAAAACATTATTCCAGTGAAAGACTAAGCCAATTTAGGCCAAAAGGAGACATAAAATGCAGCACCCTGGTCATTAGAAAAATCATATTATTGCCAAAATGGATATGAACCAAGCAGGCATTGGACAGAGCACTGACCTTTGACATCAGAGTTTTCCTATTCTGAGTTTGTGTTGACTATCCAAACTTGTACCCAGCCCTAACATGGAGGCATGACGTAGCACTTCTCATTTCCATCAGTCTATTCAAGAGTAAATGAAGATGGTACTATCTTTTCCCATTTCTTAGTCCACACAAAGCCTCAAACCCTAAGTAATTCTCAAAACCCAAGGCTGGGTCTCAAGTAATTGCTGGTGCCCTAGCTATCATGCAGTTCTGCTTCTTGGGAATCTTGAGGAAAGACAATGCAAGCCTGAATTAATTGATTTTTTTTTTTTTTCAGTCTGGCACAACTGGCACCAAGGGAGAGATCAAAAATTTATTTTGAATTCACACCTCGCAGGACTGGGCCCTTACAGCTGCAAGTAGACTTCTCTTGTGACAAATTTTCACATGTCAAGGGATTTGTAACCATTGCAGTAGCACCTGCATAATGTGATGGAATCAATCTCCTATTTCAGCATTAACATGGCAAGACACTCTCCTCTATATAGGGACAGTGATGACAGCAAGAAACTTTCCACAAAAATTGGTGACCTCTTACACTGCAATAGAATCAAGTCTCCTGCTTTCAGGTGCTTAATTATTTAGTCTCTAATTATATTTCTCTTTTTTTATCCTCTTATCTAGAAAAATGAAGCCACTTCCTTGTAGAAATAATTTCACTGTTTAATCAAATCTCATTGTGTTAAGCTTCCGGTTTTGACTTTTCCGTCAGATAATTAATACAGTCTCTTTTCAACCACATTCTAATTGTCAGCAATAAATAAAACCTATCCATACAACTGTATTCTTTTGAATTGAATTGTACATTCCATGGAAATATTATGAGAAATCACAAGATTGAGGGAAGTTCTTTTTCCTTCATTTCACAAGCTTCTTACCTAAAAAAGTAGAACATTTCCTCCATTGTTCATTTAATTTCTGTATTTTGTGACATCTATAACTGTGAATGGGGAGCAAAAAAGCCTATGAAAGCTGGAAAAAGTAATGTTTGGGGTCCATGACAACACTATTTCTGTAGCCTGTGGGCATAGGCCTGTCACAGAGCGGACAACACACATACACATTCAGATCAGTAACTTAATTCCTATGTAACGTGAGAGAGTCCCAAGCACCATGAAGCATGGGGAGAGTCTTGCATTAATATAGAAGTCCAGCAACACTTCTTGCCCACCAGCACAAGGACACTGGAGACACGGAACACATCTCTCTTCAAACCTTCCCAACGTAACTCATTCACAGGCAGCCCCTACTCCACACCCCTGTCGCAGTGTTTGCATACAGATGCCTCTTTTGTGGGTTCCTGATCCTAACACTGCCAGGTACCAGGTCTCACCTGAAATGCACTTTCAAGCAGCCTTAAGGATTCTCTATTACTGCAGGCAATGTAGCCTGTCCAGGGACTGCTATGAAAGCTGGTGTCTGACAGGGCACAGTAACCATCTGGCCACACTTCAGAAGTAGGGTATGAGGCAATAATGGTGTACAAACAGCTCTGCCAAGCCCGAAGATTCAGATTTGTTGTCTGACTTATAAAATGTTTAAAGCAGAATTAATAAGGCCAAAATTTTGAACCACAGAGCTGTCAGGAGTTCGATATGGACACCTTTTGTCTGACAGACGATAATATTTCAGAGTCACACATCCAGACATGATCACAAATTCTTACTGAAAAAAATACACAAGAAACCATAACAAAACTTCAGATGCCTTTTTAAAAAATAAATTTAAGCTGCAGGTAATTAATTTGCCTTTTTGGTTGTCAGCAGTCTTGATATGAATATGGAAACAAAACAGGAAACAGAAACAGACAAAAAAAGCCCCAATGTAGAGGTGTAGAGGTGAGGAAAATAAGGGATCACCCCTTTTCCCCTTACTCCTCAGTCACAGTCCATTGAAAGTTCAGAACAGCATGCACCTCCTCTCGGGACAAATTGGCAGGGCATGTTTCTAGATAAGTTGTGACACAGGATGAGGGAGGAGAGAGGATAAGGGAGCTTGAAGAGTGGGAAAGAGAGTGTCTGTAATTAGAGTGGGCAGGGCTTACAACAGAAGAACAGCTCTGTAGCTTCCTCCAGGGCCCAATTCAAGATGCCATGCCAAATAGCTACAGAAACTATGTACGCATATCATGAACGCCAAACTATAAAGAAAAATTATTAAAAGCAGAGGCAGCCATTAAACACTCCTCTGTACTTAATAAAAATCCCTGATGCGCAGGTGACTAGATAACAATGCCATCTCAGTGGGATGTATTACTTCTTAGATAAGAAATGCGTATTATAGGTAATCTTGTCAGTAGCAGATAATGAGGTCACAACTCTGTATGCTTCCAAGAAAGAATGAATTATATACAGTCATATGAAAGATTTTCAGGCAGACCTGCCTTAAAAAAAAAAAAAAAGTGGTTTATGCTATGCAAAGTCATGATGCTACTGAGTGGCAGTAACACTAATATATTACAAATCTACTTAGTTCACTCCATGTTCCATACATCCATGTTGTACGATATGTATATTTGTCTATACCTGCCCTCTGTACATACAATCTCCAAAAACCTAAACTGACACAAACCAAACCATCCAAAATTAAATTTCTTCTGTCTACTTAAGACTGTATTTCCTTCATTAGATCCAGTTTGGGATGTTTTCCACTTTTAGTAGTTAAGACACCAGGATACTGTTTATCATCTTTCCTCTGCCATTCACCAGTTTTAAATAAGCATAATTAGATTCAAGATTGTGCAATTAAAGCAGTCATGAGTAGATGCTCACGTAGGACATTACTACAAAAGCAGTAACTAGCAACCACAGGTCACACCCAGCTTGTATAAACTCTAGCTTATGCAGTGAAGTCAAGAGGACGAAGCCTTTCGTTACTCGTGCTGGTGGAAGAGGATTCAGAATGTTCTTGCACACTTTTGTACCCGTAACCTGAACAACGCACAAGTGTGGAAAAGAAGAAAGAAACCTTATGGCGGGTAAGTTAAAAACAGCCTGATTGCTCCAGACATCACTCTTCCAATACAGATGAGTGACATTTGCTGAGGAAACAGGATAAATTACATGTAGTTGTTCTCTTGGCAATTTAGCCCTTTTTAGGTTAAATGCATTTACGGGTTATTCTACTAGCACTGATTTTCTTAATATCATGGGTCTTGAATATATTCTTTTTTCCTGTAACACAGAAAAATACAGTAAGAAAATATTTTTCTATCATATCCATTAACTAATCTACATAGTGCTTTTGGAGCCACCTAATCAACACTGTTGGCTAGTGATTTGGGCATCAAACTGTCACACAGAAGTCCCAGGCTCTAACCCCTCTCTGATATCGAATTGAAGTCTGGCCTCAGACAGGTCACTTGATGGCCTCCCAACTCCCATGTTCACCTCCTCACAGAATGGCTATGTTAGCCTGTGTGCTGCTTTGGATTTTTTTTCTGTTGTAGCTTCAGCTTTCTGTCAGAGGCAGCAAGAACCCTGTGTGCATACTGATCAGCATTTTCAGCAGTGATCACCAATTCTTTTGCTTATGAGCATGCTCCCAGTGTCTATCCATTAGAGGATAAACGCTTACCCAAACAAATTTTTAGAAGTTTGTCCAATTGTACATTGACAGGATTATTGAAAATACATTTTTCCAACAGAGAGATACTGAAACCAGAAAAATAAATTTTAAGATTTAAATTGAAACTGTGAAGATCAAAACAAGGAGAAATTTGAAGTACACATGGACGAAAGACTGGTATCAGGCTTTATTGTGCTCTTGCCCCATATATGAACCATTTTTTGTCGATCTCCTGCACATATTCACTAGAAATGCCTGTGTAACTGTGGACTTTGCAAGGCAAACTAAACTATTAATGCAGGAAATTCTTAGAGCTAACCAATGCTAGCCACTGCCTTCTTTATCTTTCCCACTTCTCCAGATGTCCCCTCTTACTCTGTTGTACATCTTGTCTTTCCCTGTGACATTCCACTCTGAAACTCTTAGCAGCACTGTTTAGGTCCTTAAATGTCAGAGTCCCACTAATACCAAACCCATGGCTCAGTTGCTATTAAATCCTGTATGTGCTACATTTTTATTTGCAGACATAAAAAATGCTCTTAGTTATCTGCATCACTGCACAACTAATGACGCACATGCTCCCCACACCAAATAGCCTGGACATTTAACTTGCACAGTTCAGAATACACAGAAGTAGCATATACATGGGTAAAGTGTTGCAAGGCTAACTTCTTTTCAAACTCCGAGCCCACGTGCCCTTCAGAAACACATTCTAATTCACTCTAAAAGTAGAGGACTTGATGTTAGGAATGCTGTTTTCTGTAGGTCCTTTTTAATTAAACATATTTAAGTCAGGAAAATAAAGTGATGATGCAAGTGAGAAGCTTTCTAGACATTTTACATCACGTGATTCAAATATCACACTCCTATCAATGGAATTTTTTTTCTCCAGGTGACACATCTGAAACAAGACCTTTCACTTAACTGAAAATACTAAAACATGTTTATGCTCACAGACTACAGGAAAGCAACTTGTTCTAGGCCCTTACCACAGACTTAGAACTGCATATGCACGTTCACGTTTCTTCCAAAAAGCTGAAAAACAAGTATAATTATACTACATGAAGACTTCACAGAATAAAATTCTGTGCTGCAAACACAGCAGAAAACTCAAATCCCACCCTATTTCTATAGTAGAACCCTATGGATTACCTCAGATATGAACCTCATTCCAAGTGATTCAAGGTGGTCCTAAACCAAGTCCTGCATCTTAGTACAGTGAAATGATGGAACTGTTGCTCACAGCACCATTAGTCTGCAAAGGGTTAACATGCTGTAGTTGTGGCAGGAAATTTCCTTCAAGTGAAATTCCTGTGGAATATCATATTGGAGAAGAGCACTTCTCCAACACGTGTTCATAGAGGGATGATGTATTTTTTCTGCTTTGTTTTTGTTTGTTGGTTGTTTTTTTGTTGTAATTCTTTTAACTGATTGAGGAACAAGAAAGGTTGAAAGCTTTTGTAATCTGTGCTTCAGTGTCCCTTTTTCAATAGTGGGCAACCTATCATGACACAATAGAGCAACCCATAGCACTGCCCCAAGATATGCCACTCCTACCATCTGTCCTTTGCGGGTTATCTTTTTGCAACAGAATGTGAAGTAACACCCAGCTTCAAGCAACAAGACTGTAAATTAACTGAAATACAAGATATGTGAGAAGATAATGTGCAAGTCTGACAATGAAGATATTACCCTTCTATTCATCATCTGTCATACAGTGTTTCCAGGATCAGGCGTGCACTTGCTCATGAGAGTTTTAATACTTCTTTCTATACATCTGTAAAGCATTCTGTGAACTAGGGATCCCCACAGAAAAAGAGCAGGGACATGGTGGAATAGAACAGTCTCTTCAAACTTTAACAAAGTCTTATCTAAATACATTTTTTTTTTTAATCAAAGATGAATTCTCTGATTGGGTGTTTTTTCTGTCTCTGAAAGATGCCTGCAGAAAAGATATTTTAGCTGTTCCTCTAAGTTGTTGTTTATTTTGCAATTTTTAATAACAACAGTGGATTTTTCTGTTTTCCTAGAGCATATAACTCCAGCTATATATAAATGTAATAAAACTATTACATTAGAGAAGCTGAAAAGATGTACAAGTTTGAAGGAACAATGTTTTTAATTAACTTGCCTTGTGTCTTTCTAGCCCTGAAAATAGCAAATGTCAATTGGCAATCCAAACTGAATAAAGCTGCACACCACACCTCTGATTACAGCAGCACAGAAGCAATCTTGAGGAGAGGACAGGCCTTCAGCATCACTCTGCACCTCCAAACAATGGTGCAATCTGGGGACAACTTCACATTTATTGCAAGCACAGGTAATTTCCCCATGGCACTCACCTCACATCCAAGTCACTCCAACTCCACTCACATCCAGTGCCTTAGAGCTCTACGTGGTCCATTCCTGAATCATTAAGCTTTGTCCTGTACCATTCAGGATTCACTGTTCTTTTAGGCTTAGAAGCTCCCATTTTAAAGTTCAATCTGTACCTTAAGACAATAGACAGTTAAGGTAATAATTAATAGAAAGGTAGGGGCCATCCTCATTCTAAAAACAAGCCTGTATCTTTGGTCCTAAGGACCTACCTGCAATACTGCAAGTTGTCTTCATTCTGTAGTCCCTGAAAATTTTGCAACTCTGCCTCTCACAGACCATCATCCCTCATTTGTCTCCTCTCCTGACTCTCTACTTCACCCGTTTAAACTCCCCTTTATTAACTTAATGTGTTCCCTATTACTAGAACAGTCTACGTGACCCCATTCATAAGACTCCTCTCTGTATCTTCCCAAATGGCTTCTCAAAAAAATCCTCCAGGCAGCTACTAACTCTTAATGCAGTGTGTATTAAAATGTGTGGCCCATCCTGCCTACATATTTTTGAACTGTCCAGTTTTCAGGACAACAGGTTTGTATCCTCACTTGTCTAGAATGATTATTGATGCACTCACCTTTACTGTCTTGTGCACATAACACAGAGCACTGCATAGTACGATTCTATGGACTGGAGTGCAGCTAGGTTACACTGAATAAGCATTTGATCTGATAAGCCACAATCTTTCAATGTAGTCATTAAAAAAAAAAAGAAATTGAGATCACCACTGACCCCAAGTTTGTAATTCAGAATTGCTGTCCCTGTTCCCTTTGGCAGGACCATCACCAGCAGAATCACAGAGGACCAAGGCTGTATTTAACCTTTCTGAGGAGGGTGCCAGTGGCTGGAGTGCAACCCAAGAGCCCAGTGAGCCCGGCTGCATGAACTTCACAATATTCAGCCCAGCCAATGCCGTCATTGGACGATACAAACTTAAACTCCAGCTTGTTTCTGGGAACAAGGTCTCTTCAACACTCCTGGGCCAGTTTGTACTACTCTTCAATCCCTGGTGTCCAAGTATGCTTTGATGTATCATGTTCTTCAAATAACTCATTGTCTCAGTCAGGAAATCTGGGTGTCACAGTAAAGCATGTACCTGGCAGTCACAGCTACAGAAAGATATTTTTTTTGCTCAACATCAAGGATCAGTTTTTTGCCCCTCCAGTGCTGCAATGCATCAAAGATCCAGCCTCTTGCTTGTAGAATACGAAATCAGAGGCAAGAAATATTCCAAATACTCATTCTATCATTTTTTTCCCTCTGATACTTGTGTTCAGTTGTAAACCAAGCAATACCTACCAGTAAGACACATACTGAGATTACTGAAAGGACAGGAACATAGTCTGTTCCCCTGAAAGGAACTTCATGCTTATTTTATTCACTCTCTAAATGATTACAGAGTTATAGCAGGGAGTCCTAACCCTGAATGCACAGGCAGCCTGACCTGTTCCCTAGAACTCCCCTTGAAGTGAGATTTTCAGTTACAGCAAAACAACTTTCCTTTCAGCCAGCATCTCTTATTCTGCTTCTAGATGATGATGTCTATATGGCTAATGAAAAGGAGCGACAGGAGTATGTCCTGAACGACAGTGGAATCATATTTCAGGGACTGGAAAAATGTATTCAACAAGAAGCTTGGAACTATGGACAGGTAAACAGCATCACCTATTTCAGAACTTTGAAAGTAAGAACAGTGGGTAAATAGGCTCTTGAGGAGAGAGTATCATTATCTCATAGTATAAGAGTTCAGTATTCCTCTCTCACTTATGATTTTCTTGCAGGCATATGTCTCACTTATCAATACATTACAGCAGCACCAGGATCATTTCCCCGGTCTGGCAAGTGCTAATACAGAAATAAAAGAAACGAAGCACAATTTTAGTTTTCTTCTGTCTATTACACAAACTGGCAAAATTCTACTTGTTTCTTGACCCTTGTAAAGGGCAAAGGAAGCCATTCCAGTATTAAACTCTAGGTATTGCGAGGCCAGTACATCTAAATGTTTACACAATTGGTTCAGTAACAGGGCAGAAGACACTAAAGGGATATTCCACATCTACTCAACTGAAACAACTCAAGCTGGAATTTTTGAAGATCAGTTTGGCCTTCTAAGCATAACTGCTACAAATACAGTCCTAACTACAGCCCATTGGTAGTCACATAGCCATCCTGCAACTTGTTGGGCCAGTCAAAACCTTTCCTGACCACTTCATGCCTTACGACTACACCAGCAGTTGCACAGACAGCATTTATATTAATCCTGATCACTGTGGCTACTTTTACACTAGTAAATGAAATAAAGCAGATCTGCTTTCTGTCTCAGAGGTCAAGTGACATCCTTGCCTGACAACATCCATACAGCACAGCACTTCAGCATTCTCTGGGCCCTGCACAGTGTCTCTGTGAACCTAATCCACAATAATTATTTTTGTGGGTTTCTTTCAGTTCAGATCATATGATATAAGGTGAAGGCAGGCCATCAGAGTGAAGCTTTCATAACAGAAGGGTACCTGTGGGACATGACAGGATGTGGGAGGGTGCAAAGCCTGCAAAGCCAGACCTGGAGTGGTCTTGTTCATTCCACCAGGCCACGTAATGTCTTTGTGAATGCTAATAGTTATGGCCCTAAGCCATGCTCATTAGCATGCTGTCTTTAAAATACTGTGGAGGGTCAGCAGTCTAGTGCCTATACTTTCTTCTTGACACTATTTTCTTTAACAGTACAGAAAATACTTATATTACCAACATGATCCTGTCGTGCTAGGAGAAGAAAAATAGGTGGGGAGTTTATCCTTGGGTTTATTTATGAAATTAGCCTTTAATATATTGCTTGTTTTGATTTCAGTTTGAAGAGGATATCCTTGATATCTCTCTGGCTATACTGGATCGAAGCCTGAACCACCGCCAAGATCCAGCTGCTGATGTATCCAACAGAAACAATCCTATCTATGTGAGCAGGGTTATCAGTGCTATGGTAAAGTGACCAATTAGTTACAGCTGCACAATGCACCTACTAACAAACCCCCCAATACATTATTGTGAATGCCTCAATGTTTTATAGGAGTAACTAACTCTTCTGCAAAGAATACCTACAGAAGAGGTAAAATGGAGATTTTTTTTCTCATGGAAAAACACCCCAAAAGTTTAATTTACTTTCTTCCCAAAAGTTTGCTCATAACCGAAGGAATGTTTTTGAGGACTTTTGGGGAACGCTGAATCTCAGATTTATTTTCCTAATGGATTTTCAGTTCATTAGATCTTTTCACTGATTTGGAAAGCCTGTGTCATTCTGAAATAATTTGATAAGTTTTTCAAACACCAAGAGAAGCATGAAATATTTTGGAAAACCCGTGTTGCTACGGCTCCATTTAATGTGTGTATTTAGTATTCTTCACTTAAGGGGGATTTGTTCATTAAGCCCTGTATGCATTTCCTTCAACAGTTACATCTTCTCAACAACCCCCCATCCTCACAAACATATAAATGCACAACTAGGCAACTGAAAAGTTTTGCATTTTATAAATAATACATGCCTTGCAACATTCCTTATCTGAGATTCCTCTTTTAGAGCTGTGATCCATTTCACCTGTTTAGACAGCACTCACTTTAGACAGTTTCAGCTTCAACATGAAGTAAGCAACTCTACTTAGATGTACAAAATTACTAAAAGTACTAATACTTAAGAAAAAAATAATTAAAAAAAACCTCACTGTTTTCTGTACAACCATACACGACATTTAAACAGGCCTTTAAAATGGATGTGCCCAAATATATGTAAGCACATCTAACAAGTCTGAGCAAGCTATATGTACTATATGGACATTTGCAATAAATGTACATTCAGAGAAAATCTGTACTTCTTGATGCTTCCATATAAATCACTTGAGAATGTGAGCCAATACTGAATACACAGTATAACAGTATAATGACATACAAGGAGGTGAAATTAATCAATGAAACAGAGAAAATTTAAATAGGCTGGCAGTCAGTGCACTTGGGCACACTTGTACTGAAAAACAAGGCAGTTTTGAATCACCAGGCTCTACAAGCTGATCTGGGTTTGATCCAATTGTTGCACTTGAGCAGACAAAATTCTGTCTAAGATTCAAATACTATTTCCCACCACTCAGCCAATAAGAACAGTGGTACAAACAGCGTCATTTCTGCCTATTTACCTCTCTCCCTTTTTCTGTAAATATTTTAATTCTCTCATGAGAAAGACTCTTTCAGGTTAACAGCAACGATGAAAAAGGAGTAGTGGAAGGGAAGTGGAATGGAAAGTACTGCTCAGGAACCAACCCCTTGCAGTGGAGTGGAAGCGTGACCATCCTTCGAAAGTGGTACAGGGGGAGATACAAACCTGTCCGGTATGGCCAGTGCTGGGTCTTTGCAGGAGTAATGTGCACAGGTATACATGAAGGGATGAAGAATGCTATCAGAAAGGAAGTTTACTAGAATTTCTGTAGTTTTAACTTTGTGATGTTATTGTTGAAGCTGTTTCAGCTTTGACAGAGAGAGTGAAGAATGTATGCTCTCCATGCATGAAGGGTTATTTTCTTCTATTTTAAACAGACATAGGTTGTAATATGGCACCCCAGTTTTGTGAGTCATCAAACAAAATGCAAAGCGGTTTGCCAGACTGGGCTGGTGAAAAGAGCAAGGTTTCCTGTTTCAAAACTAGGATTCAAAGAAAACCAGTGCTCTTTTAAGTCTGTCTCCTCACAATGCCAGTTTTCTACTGTTGTGTTTTATCTACCGGTGACACAAAACCAAATCATAATTCTGAGGACCTGTAAAGGGAGCTGCAAGTTGGGAAAAGCATTTTATACTAGCAGTTTCCGTTAAGAGCTGCTCTGAGAGACAAGAGTCACTTTGGGGAAAATACAAAGGAAAACTAAGCAATTGAGAGGTACGTCTCAGAGAGGAAGTGGAAGAAGAAGCAGGTAACAGAAACAAACACAGGGATAAAATGGGAGAGAGAACAGGATGAAGAATGAAAGATTAAAATAAATGGGTGAATCTAACTCTTCTTAAAAAGAGCATGGCAGCTAAGAACATCATGTGAGTGGAACTGTCTTCTAAGCAGTTGTGCACCATGACTGTGACTTGCATCATATCTGAGAGAGAAGTTTCTGAGGGTTTGTTTCCCTACTGGAAACATGCACACTAGACTGCTTTGCCAAGGAAACCAAAAATATTTCCTAAATGTCTGCAAAATAGGCTTACAGCACTTTCATGGTATTCTATATTGCAGTTCTGAGATCCTTGGGAATACCTACTCGTGTTATTACAAACTTCAACTCTGCCCATGACAGGAATATAAATCTGAGTATTGATAAGTACGTTGACATTTCTGGAAAGACCCTGCACTTGACTGAAGACAGTGTGTGGTAAATATAATTTTTTTCTTAATATTTCTTCCATTATATTCTCCTCTAATTAAAAGATCTAGAATCATGCTCCTGAAAAACCACCCCAACCTCATGCTCTCAGTGACGTAAAACCCCATACCAAAGAATCAACAGAGTGTTCAGAAATGCAGTATGTAGTCAGTTTCATCATTCTGAAGAATTAACAGAGGAGATACTTTGCACCATTGCTATTCAACATATAATTTGAAACTGTAACTGCTAATTTTGTCTCTACTGTATGAAAGTTTAAATTTTTCCAAAAGAAGTTGAAGAGTGATTAACCTCTTGCTCAAAAATGGTATCAGCTTGTCCCTCAATTCCTAGAGCAGAGCACTCTCAGAAGCCCGTAAGTTTTAGACCCAGCTCCTGTGCTACATGCTGTCTCAGTCTTTCATGATTACCATTATACATCCCTTGCACAATACTGAGAGGTTACTAAAGTAAAGGTAATATGTTTAATGCAGCTGAGAAGAATTCCATCACATCCCTTAGGAAGAACATGCTGTTTCTTTCGCCTCAGAGAACCTGTTAAAAATCATGCTTTTGACAAACAAGTGCACAGAAACTATCACACTGCACGTGTGTTGTATTGCATGATCAATGTTTCAGTCACCAAGCACCCTATACCATGTGGACTGAATGGGACATGGGTGACATGAAGTAGAAAGCAACTGTGAATTAAATACCAGCAGATACCAATATGCGCAGGAGACCTTTGGCTGTACAGTATGCTGCTCTGGAATGTCCAGAATTGAATACTTGACTCTGCAATTAATTATCTTCCTTTTAACATTTTTTTTCATAACATCCCAACATTCCTCAGTGATCTGAACACAAAAAGCTGGTAAAGAAGGGGAAAGAGGTACTCAAGAAAGGAGTCAGCAGCTGGTCTCTCCACAGAGAAGTTTTCATTCACTTGACTAGGGTTATTTCTTGCTTTGCACCAGAAATGTATCAAATCTTTCAATATAGAATTAATTGTATGAATCAGTGATTCCCTATTCTACCTCCCTCACAGGAATTTCCATGTCTGGAATGAAAGCTGGTTCATTAGAAGAGATCTTGGCTCTTTTTATGATGGATGGCAGGTTCTAGATGCAACGCCCCAGGAAAGAAGCAAAGGTAACGCTGCTGTAAATATAAAAAGCTGTAGATACTGTTACTCCTAAATATTGTTACTGAAATTTCAGGACAACTCTCTTCTATCTACTCCCTGTAGATGTAGCATTAACTCAGGTGCACAAGAAAAGCAATACCCACATCAATCTCCAGTAGACTGCTTTTCCGTCAGCCTCTGGATTGCCTACCAGCATGCAAGTTCTTACTTTTTTTGATCCTCTGCCTCCACAAAAGCCAGCACATCTTAAGTTCACTTATCTCACCCTTGCTTGTCTTAGCTCCTAATATTACACAGATTCGTAAAATGACATAGAATAGCTACGGTTGGAAGGGACCTTCAGAGTTTGTTTACTCCACCTCCCTGCTCAGCACAGGGCCAATTAAAACAGGTTTCTCAGGACCATGTCTAGTTGGGTTTTGAGTATTTCATAGGATGGAGACTCCACAAGCTCTCTGGGCAAACTGTTGCAGAGCTGATCAACCTCATAGAAAAAAGTTTTTTTATTACGTTTAAATGGAATTTTCTGTGTTTCAATTTGTGCCCACTGCCACTTGTCCTTTCACTGGATATCACTGAGGAGAGTCCAATTCTGTCCTCTTTACACCCTCCCATCAGGTATTTATACACACCTATAAGACTCTCCCAAGCCTTCCCGCCTCCAGGTTGAACAGTCCCAGTTCTCATCCCTTAATCCCTTTTTGTGGTCCTTTGCAGGACTTGCTTCCATACACCCACATCTTTGTTGTACAAGGAGCCCAGAACTGGACACAGCATTCCAGATGTGGTCTCACCAGTGCTGAGTAGAAGGAAAGGATCATGTCCCTTGATCTGCTGGCAATGGTCTTCCTGATGCAGCTCTGGATGTTGCTTGCTGCAAGGTCACATTGCTGGCATTAGACACATTTGCTGGCTTGTATTGGACAGATTTAGCAGCAAAACAAATTAAAACCCCTTTTAGTAAGATGCTAAGTAAAGATTTTGGAGCTTATAGTCACAGGGTTGAACCAAAGAGTTTACCACAGAAAGTAAAATATGCCCCATGACTCTACCCTATGTTTTACAGGACACACTGGAATGAGTAGGAAGATATTTCACATGATGTCCTCATGGCATGCAACAACATGCCATTTATGGACAAAGCTACATGAAAGAAGCGCCAAACTGTTCTCCGGTTCTGAAACCAAGTGACATAGAACGGCTTTTTTTTACAGCACTGAACTCCCTCTCCCAGACCAAAATAATAGCACAGCCTGCTGCCAACAGACTTTGGTCTGTCCAATTCCCTGAATTCTTCACAGCCATTGTCTGAAAGATTGCTTACTGACAAGGGGGGAAACCACACTAAGAAGCTTGCTAACAAGTAAACAGTGTGGATGACCAATGGCCGGCACTTGGGTTCACACTTTGGCTCTGGTTTTATTTACTAATACAGACACAACTTCATTATCTAGTTTGATGACCTCCATCAAAAGATTCATTTATTTGGCCATTTTAAACCCATCAAACTCCAGATAAACTGCTTCTCATTCCCCACTACTAAGTTCACCAAATTTAGCTTTGGCTCCCATCCTCTCCTCTCCTTTCACTAGACAGCTTAGCATACAGCCTTGCAAGCTCTGGAGGGTTAGAACACTTCACATAGCACACATCATAAGAAGTGTTAGTTCTCTCTATACCTTATTGGCCTTACAACCTCCTCCGTGCTCCTACCTTTTGATAGAAAATGCATATGGAATCTCTGGACATGCTGTTACCATAATGCACAGATGTAGAAACAATGCACTTTATCCAAACATGTCTTTGGAGTGACTACCTCTCCCTCTTGCTGTCAGCATAAGGAGTTAACGTTCTTTCGCAATAGGCAGTCATTTAACTTTTCCCTCTCTCTAATATAGGCATATATCAGTGTGGTCCTGCCTCCACCAGAGCCATTAAGGAAGGGGATGTGAACCTGGATTACGACAGCTCATTTCTGTTTGCAGCAGTGAATGCTGACTATGTTACTTGGATTCACTATAGCAACAAAAGAAAAGAGAGAATTTATTCTGATACTAGGAAGATTGGAAAATTTATCAGCACCAAAGCAGTGGGGACTAACTCCCGTGTGGATGTCACTGCTAATTACAAATATCCAGAAGGTAAACTCTATAGCTGTCTTGCCACTGATGGACAGAAGGGAAAGGAATTTAGGCCTTCGTTGGATTTAGCACTGACTTAATTTCTTTACTTCTTCTGGAGCAAAGTAACTGTGAATTTTCAAAGTAGTAGGGCTCACTGTCAGCTGATAGTGATTCAAAATGGCCTTTGTGGTGGCCCTTGATGAAATACTAATATATTCAATACAAAGTCAAAGCTACTTCTCTAAGACATTCTGTCCCAGCTGTTCTGATCAGCTGGTAAGACTATTTCTGTTATGACATGCAGCAATAGCCATTCTGGAGAGTTGTTTGGGGAGAGTTTCTGTGAAAGGATTTTTTCACCCTTCTTAATTTCAGAGGAGATGGCAATTGCCCCAGCTTATGCAGAACTGAGCTCTCCCAGGAGTTATCTTTGTACTGCTCACAGCTTCTAAGAGGTGCCCATGAACAACCAGCTAAAGCTGACAGGCAGGTTTTACTTTCCAGCCTTCATGGCCATGTATATTCATTTGCTTTTGTGTGAAAATTAGCATTTAGGTTAGACCACACTTTCTCCTCTTGTGTATCTTTGCCCTCCTCAGCTTTCCTAAACTGTATTTTACTGAGAGCAATTATGGCTCCATTGCACTATATTCAGCATGCATGACATCTCTGACCATGTTATCTTTCAAAGCAGGATCCTTGAAAGAAAGGCAGGTGTATAAAAAAGCACTGAAGCTGCTTGCTGTGAGAAGCACTGGGAAAAGAACCAAAATTACAAGACGTAGAAGACGATCTTCAGTAGCATGGAGACAAAATATGACACAGCCTACACAAAAACCCAGTATCTCAGGGAAGCTGATCCTTGATGCATCTCCTGTAATTGGCCAGGATATCCTCCTTACCTTGGCACTCAAGAACTTGACCTCAGATTTCAAGAACATAAGGGTTAAACTGAGAGCTTCAGCCATTCTCTACACAAGAAGACCAAAGGCAGAGATTTTGCAGTTGTCTAGGTCTGTTAAACTTGGATCTGAAGAAGGTAATTTAAATCTTTTTACAGCTAAGGACAAGATGTAGCTTTGCTTTGTAGCCACATCACATAGAAATAATGAACAGCTCAAGAACTGCATGACCTGCAAATGGTTTGTGGTTAAGGCTATTCAGGGGAAGAGAAACATATATATTTGCCCTGTCTTAAGCATTTGCTTTTGGGCACTGTCAGAAAGGATACTGAGCTGGGTGACCTTTTGTCTGACCCAGTACAGGCACTATTAGTTCTCCATTATGACCTTTTTTGCTAAGACAGAACAACTAAGACATACACCAGAGACTACTCAGCTACCAGCTCCCCATAATCAAAGCATAAAGACAGATTAAAGGGGGGAAACGTAAGCCTACATCTTTTACAGCAGTAGGACAGTAACTACAGACTGCAGTAAGTGCTACACTACCTGCAGGTAGTGGCCTTTGCCCTGCTTTTATAGGGACAGCAGTGAAAAATGAGACATGAAGCATAGATGAATATAACTACCTTCTCAAGCTAAAACACAACACATTATAACTGTTTCCACTGTTCCAACAGTAGATGAACATTTTTTCTCAACGTACAGAGATCCATTGCCTTCCTCACTGGCACAGAGACTCTGACTGTGCACCCTCTTTAAGGCAGAGGCTACAGCTGCATCAGCAAGGGCATTTAAAACAACCCACCTTTTCACTTCTGCCTTCTTTGCAAGGAAGGAGCATTAAATGCCCAGCTTCAGGTAAACAAAAAAAACACCAGCAGAGATTGCCACATACATCCATCCTCAGAACTGTCCAGCTACTGAACTGTACCTGATCATTTAGTGTTTGATGTGATTGTAAGTAGAAGTCACGTATAAGCATCATTCCTGTGTATCAGCTGTCAACACCCACAAATGGACAGACTCAGGGTGACAGCATTCTTGCTCCTTAAAATACAGATATATTACAGATAGCTGGCACTTAGACACAGAAAAAAAAGGAAGAGGAGGAAATTCTGTTTCTATTTCCATTCCAGTGAAAGAGATTTCATTCAAGATCTCCTATTCCCAGTACAAAAACTCTCTGGTGGATGACAGGAAGATCCTAGTGACTGCTGTGTGTGAAACCAAACAGGGAGCCTCGCTTCTAGTGGAGAAGGACATTGTACTTCAGGATCCTTTTCTCACCATCAAGGTAAAAGCCAGTCCCCTTCGTGTCCCTGGAGAGACACGTTGAGAAGAAGCAACTAGAATCCTTACTCCATCTACTTCTCATGGGAAGGAGTGTGGGAAGTGAAATCATGCCTGAGGGTGATTTGATCTTGTTGCTCTAGTAATGGGCCATACGACACAAGTGAAATGAAATACATTAAGGAAAAGCAAACCTTTCCAAAGCATAGCTGTGCTATGGTGTTCTTGCCAGTGCTTGTTGACATGGCACTGATAAAAGTTCTCAGTGTTAGGAGTGTTACAAGGTAAGATTATCTCCAGAGAGACAGACAGACAGACAAGAGACAAACAGAGACAGACAGAGCGATCTAGTCCATATCTAGGCCTCCACTTTTGTCAGGGAAGTCTGACCATTCTCTTCCAGTTTATTTAAGAAGCCTGATCTTTACCAAAGACATCTTCACTGACTAGCTCATAATACCTGGGGCTGTGAGGCTTGTTATTACTAATAATCAAAGAAGTTCTTTCACCTTATCGGGAAAAGTGGCACTTTTCACCTTCTGTAACATCTTTCCAAATGATTATTAATTAGAACTGGAGGCTTTTTTTCCCATTTAAGACTGACTTCTGACAAATGTTGTACAATGGGTAAAAAGCAATTCTTACTCTACAGAAAAGACCATGCACTATGTATGCCCAGGGACAGTCCTGGGTTTCTATGGCTCATCACATCCAAATAAACTAGCTTAACTTGTTTTGGACAGTTCAGCACATTCACATGCTGTATCAGACATGGGATCAAAAGCTATCTGCCTACTGTACTGTAAACAACACAGAGGGAGTATGATAATTCGTGGCCTTTCAGAGCCTCCAGACTACATTAGCTATCCCAAACCACTCTGCAGTAGCATACAGGAAAAACATGGTTACACACAGGAATAAAAAGTCTGGCTTTTTGTAGGTCTGGCAATTTCTGAATACCAAGTTCTAGTGAGACTTTGTAAAAAGCCTTCTGTGCTGTATCATGCAAATAACAGAGTCAGCTTATATAGGGCTGGCACCTGAATTAAATTACTTAAATTCAGTGACTAAGTTTCAAGAAGGGTTTATGTTTCTGTTGATTGAAACTTCTGTATAAACATACATTCAAGAATACAGAAATGCAATTGGGGTGCTGGACTTCTCCATTATGTTAACTAATTCTACATCATCTACAAAGATAACTAGATGAGCCAATTCAGTCAAAATAAGGCAATGAATATATTTATTTGCTACTTGGCATCCTATTCTTTTTTCGCCTGAGATGTCACAATTCACCTCTGTCTCACACCTCCAATGTTTTCTAATCCTAAACCTTTCATTTAGTCTAACTAAAGCTAATTTCACTTAAGCTGCCTACAGTAGTTAGCCAGATATGCCAAGTTAATACTTGTATTCTCATTCTGTTCTCATTCTGATAAGTATCATATACTGTGCTATACGTTAACACCATACACTGACCTAGTTAAAAAATTTGGCCTAAATGGTAGATTCTACAGTAGTTTGTTCTTTCTCAGCCATACTGGGTGGCTGATTCAAGCCTGAACTCTGATGCGCAAAAATATGTACATGTATTAATTCCTGGCTCCTTCCTGTCCAGGAGATCCTAAGAGTGTAAGTGGCTTGCAACAGGAATGAAAAGAGAAAACCACGAGAAAGAAGTGAGACTAATGCCGTAGCTGAGCAGAATGTTCTCTCTTTGTAGGTCCTTGGTCCAACAGTGGTACACAAGGCTGTTAATGTGCAGGTGACATTTACCAACCCGCTGTCTGAAGTGGTGACAGACTGTGTGCTGAGAGCCGAAGGTAGTGGCCTGATCAAAGACCAACTCAGAATCAAGTACGTAAATGCTATCTGGCTAATAACTCATTCACTTTGGTGGGAAATCTGGAATAGAAGTGGGTTTTTTAAAAAAGATTCTGTCAACCTCATGACTTTTGTTGGCACCAACCTTGGACAAAATACCATCATATCAGTACTCTCCATATACTAGTTGGGAGTCTTTTACATCTCCTTAGCCAAGCTTTGAATTACAGAATGCTCAGAGAGCAGAGAGATGGCCTGCTTTTAATGACAGCATGTAACTCAGAGTGCTGTAGTTAGTGACGGAATTATACAAAGAGTAAAAATTTAAAAATGCTCTTCCTTTTGTGGTTTGCAAAAGAAAAACCAAACAATCCTTGAAGGATAAGAGAGAAAGTGATGGTATCTTTTTTCCTTCAGATATTAAATCACTAAAGAGCCAGGACATAAACTGTAATGAAATGTCTTAAAAATGTGTCCACTGATATCATATCAATAAGAAATTGTTCTCCCATCTCCTCCATGGTTACTATTTTTAAAACATTTTTTAAAGTGTTCAAAATATTTATGCTGGGGGAGTGAGTGAGCACCAAGAAACTGTGAGAGGAAAAAAAAAGATAGCAAAAGACAGATAATGATGCAAATCACTAAGGCTTCAGTTACATTGAATACAAAATTCAGGTCTAGATCCTGACCTTGAACCTTAATTTGCTGTACCAGCATCAGTATTGCTGAGCTTCAGTACCTCCTTAGAGCAGAGAGGCCCTTTTCCCCCACTCTCTCTGTTTTCTGGTGCTACTATCAGTCTCCTTGTGTTGGACAGCCAAGAGTAATTTCTAACTATGGACATAAAATCAACAGGTAATTACTTTTACCACACCAAAATATAGCATGAGCATATCTAGAGTACTATAAATGTTGTGAGTGTTGAGGGTAATACATAGACTTGGATTTGAGCTCTTCTAAAGATAACCTTTCTGATCATTCCTCAGGTGCTCAATATGTTTTACTCTCATGATACAACCCCTAACTCTCTATCAGAGATTGAGAACTGCAACTATTCTACCACATCCATTACAGCTTGATTAGTTCTTCAAGGATAGTATTGTGGGGGCTGTGAACATGGAAGGTTATGTCCACCTGTGCTAGGAGCATACAAACACAGCGGCCACTTACTCTGACTCTTCCCTTCTACACTGTCTTAGATTCGGGGACTCTGAAGAATACATAGCAAGAATTTTTCAGCTGCTTGAACTTAGAAATGTATTCTCTTTTAGTGTGGCAAGAATGGCCCCCATGGAGAGCTCAACAGTCCAATTTGAAATCATTCCCTACAAGAGTGGCACCAGGCAGCTTCAGGTGGACTTGGTTTGCATCCATTTTTCAGACATTAAGGGATTTGTGATGCTTGATGTGGCTCCTGCTTAGTGATATAACCTGTACATCAGTTCAGTTTTGTCTCTATGACACTGGTGCAGTGTTCGTACATTATAATGACTGGGAGCACAGAAATGCAGACTACTCAGCCAAAGTAAAATGATGTAATATGAACGGAAATGAATAAAAAGGTACTATACACTATGCTATAAAGACACTGTCACCTCTTCCATTCCCTAACCTGTTTTATGGGCCTTCATGAATAGAATTACTAGTGGAAATCATTATATAACTTAACTTGAAGGAGAGGCTTAAGTGTGATGGTTTTCAGTATTAGAGCCTGTAGCAATGACAGCAGCTAGATTTCCAAGGAATATAATTTAAAATCACTGGTTTTGTAAGCTTCATTGAATATAATTTCATTATATTCACTAAATATAAGTTTTATTCAGTAATAGCCAAAGTACTATCCAAGTAGCTGACATAACTCAATTCTAGAATTAAATTTATCATTTCACCTAATTACTAGAAGGAAAATGCAGCAATAAGATACGGCAGTGTTACAATAGAAGTCTCTTTTTATGACTGGAGAAAGAGAAGCTATTCAATAAACAATACTCTTTAATTCACAGTTTCCCTGTTCAGACCATGATTTAATCATGTCATAAATTATAAATAATGAAACATTTGGCAAAGAAATGGCTGGGAGTAACAGTACAAAAGCAGGTAAAAGAAACATGTCCTTGACTAAGGAGTGGCAAACATTAGAGCATCTGAAATAACAACAGGCTGGAATAGCTGTTCCTGAAAACAGGAATGAACCAGAACTTCATTAGTAAATAGGGGATTTGTCATCTGGACTAAGACACATTTATTTACACACGTAGCTCCTCACAGATGCACCACTGTCTCAAAATGTCCAGAGATCTTTCTGGATGAACTAAATGAATGAAGGAAACTTCTCCAAAGATAAAAGGGTAAATCATTACCACAGCCAACCTGACTGAGACCAAAACACACTACATTTCTACCACTGGAACACTATAGTTAAGCACTATGCAAATTTTCATGCATTTACATCTCTCAAATTCACGTCCTCATACAGCCTCTATTATCACTTACTTTAATTGGGTCTGCCAGGAAAAAACAGAAAAGCATTTGGCTCTTGAGTGGGGGAAAAAAAGGTATTTATCAAGGAAAACATACTGTAAGAGATGTCTTATAGCCCCTGTACTATGGGTTCAACCCCAAATCTTGTTCAACTGGCTACATCTCTACCATCACCCTCTCCCAGAGAAGCTTCTGGATAATAAATTTGGCATTTCTATGTAAAATTTTATTTGAATCAATTGACCTTTTAACAGCAGCTTCCATGAAATTTCTTGTTGGATAACACTGCATTCAGGTATGACAAACCCACAGAGGCAGGAATACACAGAAATTCTCATGCAAGTCACAAAATATTTTGAGGAAATAGAGAAGTCACAGCAAGTGTACTCAAAAGGAGTGCAGGTGCACAAATAAAATCTCCTGTCTTCCAGGAGCATATTGTTTTATCCAAGTCTTAAACCTCCATTTGCTAAAGTCTCCTCCTATCAATCACATATGCAAAAGTATCATTCCTAGTTTTATCTAAGACAATATAATCTTTAGAGATTTATTATTTATGTAGTTGCACAGATATACACAGCATTCTTTTAAAAGATGTGGTAAGAAAAAGTCTTTGCCCCAGTTTACTCTTTTTAATGAGCACTAAAAGGAAAATATAAAGAACTTTTATTTTTACAGGTGGTTAGATCTTTAGGACATGAGAAATGTTAAGAACTCACACGAAAAGAAAACACTGAACTCAAGAAATCATTCTGTTTTCATCTGAACAAAATGCATTTGATTTCAGCGAGTCTCACAGAACATGACTGCAACTGGCCCCATGTAATGGTGGAGCCACAAATGCCAGAATAGCTACCAACGCCTCAGAAAAAAGAAGGAAAAAAAAAAGAAAGAAGAAGAAGAAAAAAGTTAATTTTAAAGGAGTTTACAGGAGAGCAAAAACTGGTTCCTGTTCCCATTAGGCAGAAAGACATAAAAAAAATGCAGTTGATTTAATGAATAAGTAAATTTCTCAATACTCTGCCACCTTAGATTCTCAGTTTTGCAAAGTAGCTCCAGAAACAGTTTCAAACAAAGCCAAAACTGATCTCTGTACTGTTTTGATTATAGAAATGACCTAAATACTTTCTATTACAACTTTTCTAACTTAAGCACAGCTAAAAGCTTTCAAGACTTATATGTAACTCTGAGACTGCATTTTAAATACAAATGATGGACAAGATAAAGGTGTCAATTCGGAAGATTTATTGCAGGAAAAACTGAATGAGCTACCATACCGGCCCACAACAAAGGACCCCAAACTGTACCCTCTTCATAAGGAACTGCAGCAATTGCCTTAGAGTATTTATAAAGGCTTTGCTAAGCATAAACATGAACAATTTCCCAAAGAGAAAATTAATGTGTGTGGAGACCCACTTTACAATACTCTCTGGCTTTGTAATCTCATCCCCTACTAGTCTGAATCTATTCTAGGACTAATAGGCAGTAGTAGCGATCAGAAACCCTAACCAACACAGACAATCAGTCAATGCATTGGTCCTAATTATTTTGGCATTATGCATTTTGATAAAATTGCAGTGGGGGCTGGGGGAAAGGTTGGGTATTTTTACTTTGCTCCAAGTCAGAAACTTCTCACTGTACTACTGGAAGAATTGGCCAAACTTGTCTACGAGACCACTCGAGAAGAAGACATGTATTTTTGTTTTGTAGTGGCACTACCTTCAAGCTGCTCACGCCTGCTGTCACACACTTCACGCAGCCCTTCATCTGTATCTTACAAAACCATTGTATCTACTCTCTTAACTCATGTCAGAGGAAGTTCCATCTGTTTCCTTTCATGTAGGTATCATAAAGCAGACAGGGGAAAAAAGACTGATTTTTCTGTTTGCAAAGGCAGATACTTCGCAATACTTCCAGAAGTGCTGAGAAAGCACAGGATGGGAAGAAAAGGCTCAGGACAATATAAGCGGAAGGACGTATGAAAATTCACAATAACAGTCACTCATCCTCACTCCACAAAGCTGCTTAAAGTACATCATCTTCCTCCATGAGGAAGGCATTATGTCACCCACAGCTAAATACCATCACTGTATCCATTTATTCCTTGCAGAATTAACAAGCCAAAATAGCAAAGATCTGAATGTTCCTAAGAGACAATTTGACCTTTTCCTCCTGACAGCACCTGGTACTGTCCAGCAATGCAGTCCCAACTTACCCCAGAAAGTGTTTCACAAACACAAACTGACTCTGTGACCCAGATTAAAGAGGTCTCATTTAAATTTCTTTGATTTAAAGCCAGCAAAATCTTCAAAACATTTTATTACATCAATTACAATATTTTGCCACCCACACATACACTTACAAGGGATGCGGAAGCTTGTCAAAACTAGTCAGCCCAGAGAGACTGGAATGAAGAGTGAAAAGGGGACAGATGGACAGGGACACAACACACGAAGATGCAGACACACACAGAGACAAATTCAGATTTCTCCAGGCAAAGGAGAGGGGAATAGGTAGCTTTGCACCTATCCATTAAGTCTTGCAGGATCTTGAAAAGTCAGGGTATCCAACCCTCCACCAGCCCCAGAAAAGGTCTTGATGGTATTTCACAAAATCTCATTAAATCTTGCAAGAACGCAGACTGTCACTACATTTAACACACAGTACAGCCAATCCATTCAAATTCCTTCAGTATTTCTTCTTAAATACAATCCAGGAAATTATTTCAGATAGTGTTTGTCACACGAGCTTGGAATGACCTCATCCTAATTAACTATTTGTAAAGGAAGCCTGCTGTTCAAAGGAAAATCAGCCCTAAAGCTTGTGCCAAGTTTCAAGCTTTGCAACATTTGGGGCTGCTCGGTTTTCAGTGTGTCAGCATTATTAACTGCACTCAGCAACCACACCTGGTTCAGTTTCAGTGTTAAAATGCAGATCTGGCCATGTACAGTGCCATGTACAAGAAACACAAATTCTTCCTGCATTAGACATATGACAACTCTTCAATTAAACTAATGATTATTACAGAGAAAAACGTGTAAGTGCCCAAGGAAGGATTTAAATAACTTTTGCCAAACCTACAATCTTTACACAGCCCTTAGTCAGAAGTCAGTGGGAGTTGGTGGAGTAAAATATGGCTAATTATCAGTATTTTTCTTTATAAATATGCAGTTTAAATCTGAGCATGCCCAAGAGGCTGACCCAGCCCTGATTCTATTCTGATCACTCAAAAAAATCAAGCGAGCACTAGCTGGTATGACACATTCATACTATGAATTGGTCTTGAAAGACATTAAAATCAATCTCCAGGATGGTGAATGTTTCTCCCCACCATTCTGTTCTCCTGATCTAAGTTTCTAGAGCCTTGATTCAGGCAGTCAATTAAATTTCTACCTTTTTACAGATTAAAAAAAAAACCAACACAAAACTAAATACAACCAAATAGCCAGTTGGTAGTTTGAAATCACTTGGTTCTGTCATCAAAGCTGCATTGCTTTACCACTTGGTATCTATCACTCTTCTGTACTGAATCTGGAGGGTACTGCTCACTATAAAAGACAAAAGGCACAGTGTAAGCATTTCTTGCTGCTCTAAAGAAACAAGAAATCTCACCAAAAAGGAAAATTCACATCTAATTCATGGACGTGCCATGTAACATAGACACAATAATGGGGAAACTTAGATGCACGTAATTTTTGATCATTATATTCAGAAACAGACCCAGTTATTAAAGATGCTCACGTAACATTTTAAGCTTCTATTTTTATAGGTAATAAAGATGATACAATTTTTATGGATTTATGTTTGGACCTGTAAAACAAGAAGAATCTGTAATATCCAGACAGGATGGATACTTTCAAGAATGCTATGGATCACTTTTCCTTTAGATTTCTATGAGCATGTCAGGGACGCAGTGGATACAGAACAGTGACAACACTTGC